ACTTGCATCATTTCCTTCAGCTTCCTGCCAGCCCTTCACCATCTGGTTAAGTGGGAGGCTGTAATCAATGCCACAATAATCCTCAGTGTCATCATCCAGTGGCTTCCATTTCTCAACAAGTGGAGCTAATACATTCACGGCATGACCCATATCTGGTCGTTGGTTGGGCTCCCTTGTGGTGCAGTGTCCAGCAAGTTCAGCTATGATGCAGATGCTCTCAAATGTTTCATCTTTCATGTCAAGGGCGGGATCAACAGCAGCCTTCAGTTTCTCTTTATCTAACTTGATACGCCAGAACCATGCAGCCAAGTACTGGCTTTCCTCTGGCCTGTCCTCATCAAGTGCCATCAATCCAGTCAAAAGCTCCATTAAAACCACCCCAAAACTAAAGACATCAGCTTTGGTTGTGATTTTCCCTGTCACTGAATCAATGGCATATGACATTTGAGTCAGTACAAGATTAAAATATACCAAAAAAGATATCAATTTCACAAGAGAAAGAGACAAGCATCTAACATTTCAAATTATCTTACCCTTTTTTTTTTTACTATTGAACTTAAAGAGCATGCATCTCTGATTTTAAGTTCATTTCAGACACTGTAATTTTTTACACCAAAAACCTTTTCATTGTTAATCAACATTTCAGTTTCAAACTCAATTCCTCTCATCATACTAGCAAGGGTAATCTATCCATGGTAAACAGAATGCAGTGGATTCTCTAGTGGACCAGAGAGTATCCAAACTCAGCTTCATTTGAAAAAGACACAACTCTTGATTTGGGCATCATAATTTTTAAGATGGTCAAGTAAAAAGAGAAATGTCATGTGAAGTTTACTTTGAGACTATAAATGATAAGTTTAGACATAAAGTAATTTCTCATGCATTATGTCCAAAAACTTAACCAGAACTGATTTCACTCTAGGAAGCAGACATTAATTACCACCATGTAATCAACAACCAACCTTTCAAGTTCAGCTACTGACCATAAGCTCCAAATAGCGAATTACTGAAGTTTATTAGTTCTATAGACCTTAAGTTGTTGTTACAAATTAATGTTGCATTGATAAAAGATATTATAGCTGTATATGTCATTACTTCATTGCAGAAGAGTGGAAAGAACCCCTGGCAGAAAGCTTACCTGCATACTCTGGAGCTAGGTATCCAAAAGTTCCGGCAAGCCTGGTAACAACAGATTTCTCCCCATCAGGAGCAAGTTTGACCAATCCAAAATCTGAAACTTTGGCTCTGAAATCATCACCAAGTAAAATATTTGATGATTTAAGATCTCTGTGTATGAAGCTCTGGTGAGCCAGGTTGTGAAGGTACTCCATTCCTCTGGCTACATCCAAGGCAATATTTAGCCGCCTCTTCCATGATAGTGGTTCTAATTTCAAGTTCTTCCAATGGAAAAGATGCTTACTTAGTGCTCCTTGAGGCATGTATTCATAAACAAGAATTCTCTCATTGCCTTCAATGGAATAACCCAATAGAGACACCAAATGACGGTGCCGGACCTTTGAAAGAACTGCAATCTCAGCCTGGAATTCATCCAAGGCTTTGCTACTGATTACACCAGCCTCCATTCTTTTAACAGCAATTTTCGTTCCATCATCCAGTTCTCCCTTATAAACCACACCAAAGCCACCACGGCCAAGCTCATTTTCTGAAGCAAAATTCTTTGTCACATTTCGAAGCACTTGAACTGATATGACTAAGTTTCCAGCTTCAATGACATGAGATTCACCACCAACACTGCCACTGTTTCTACTTGCTGAGCCACTACCTGTTAGGGTGGAAGTGCTTCCATTGGTATTATTGGCAACAGCAATCTTAACCATGTTATTGGAATCAGATGGATCTCTTGGGTGAATCACAAGGGAACTTGGAGGCAGGCTACTCTCTTTTCTTTTCTTGTAACAATAGACTGAAAGAGGAATGATAAGAACAGCAAGAACTGCAAAAATTGCAATGGGGGTAACAATTATGACTAAAGTGCTTCTTTTGAAACCTTTTTCTTTGGTTGGTTGCACGGGAGAAGCACCTTTACCAGATCCTGAGCTTTTGTGAGGTGGAGAGCCTGAGTTCTTAGTCGGTGATCCTGTATTCTCAGTTGGTGATCCTGAATTCTCAGTTGGTGGACTGTTTCCAGTGGAGGGGTTTGTGGCAGACTCATTATTATTCAATAGAGGATTATCATCTATGACGAGATGAACTGTTTTTGCAAATTTTGGTAATAGACCAGAAATGTTGTTGCCACTGAGATTCAAAGTTTTCAGAGACTTCAAGCTGGTCCAGTTTTCTGGAATTTGGCCACTTATATCATTAGACTGAAGATTAATTTGAGAAAGGAACTCCAACTTTGCAACTGAAGGACTCAAGATGCCAGAGAGATTAAAATGAGACAAACTTATGACAGAAACCTGCTGGTTGGGATTGCAACTTATTCCAAACCACCCTTTGCATGGATCGTTACCAGACCATGAATCAACAAGCCTAGTCGGGTAATTCACCCCACCAAGAAACCCTATAAGTGCCATAACTTCAGGGGCACAAGGAAGCCCCTCAGTGATTTGACAGAATGCATTTGAACCAAAACTCACATTAGTAGCTTTAAACTGTGGGACTGGACCCATTAAGTGATTATTGTTCAAATCTAACTTGTCTAACTTCATATTTGCTAAGCTATTAGGAATCAAGCCAACAAGTAGATTGCCATTAAGATCAAGATCCTTCAAGAAAATTAAGTTACCAATATTTTCCGGAATTGGCCCAGTGAACTGATTCCCGTGCAGCCATAGAACTGTAAGCGTCTCCATGGTTGCCACCACATCTATAGGTCCTGTCAACCCACCACCAAGCTGATCATTCAACCAAAGCGCCTGCAGATTCAGGCCGGCGAGACTCCTTGGAATTTCACCGGATAAACTATTGCCAGCAAGCCTCAAGTTCATCAAAGAAGTCATGGAACCAAGATAATCCGGCAAAGAACCAACCAAATTGCAACTGCAGCAAGAGAGTTCGGTTAATTGGGCAGAATCTTGCAGGGACTTGGGCAATGACCATCCAGTACTGGCATTAAAATTGTTGTGATCCAAAGCCAATACTTGCAAATCCACCAAACCGTCACAGAAATCATCTGGAATCGAAGAAAAATTGTTGAAATCCGCGTAAATGTACTGCAAATTCGATAATCCACTAAAGGATGGAAACGACCCACTAAATTGGTTTCTCTGGAAGCCAACGTTTTCCAGCATGGAGAGCCTGTTCAAGTCCTGAGGCAGAGTACCCTTCAACCCCTTTCCCTGAACCTGAATCTGAGTAACTCTTGAACCAGAACAGTAGACATGGTCCCACTTCGGAGAGCCACAGGGGTCATCGCCATTCTTCGGCCAGTTCAAGAGCTCCGGATTCTCTAACCCATCTCTGAACTTGAGCAGAACTTCAAGGTCACCCTGGTCAGTGGCCCCAAAAACCAGAGTAACAAGATAGAAAACCAGCAAAAACACGAGCTTCCTCTGGTAGGTTCCCATGACAGATCTGTGATGCTGCATTGGAACACCCTATGTACTACTAAAGAAGCTTCATTTCAGCATCAATGGCGGTTTCTTCAAAAACCCACCTCAAATCCTGCGTGAAATAGTGACAAAAACAGAGAATTCATGTCATTTGAAACAGTGAGAGATTTAGAAGAGCCTTTCAGAAGAGCAGCCGACAACACAGCAAAATTTCCCCTTGGGAAATACTCAACACAGAGATCAAAACTTTAAGAATTTGCGACTAAAATCCTAACAAAAACAAATATGGGCAGTACCTTATTGTGCATTTCTATCTTGGCATTCAACATTTATCACCAATTCACCGTCATCAAGATTTTGGAAAGTAACAAGTTTCTGTATGCCACAGAATACACCTCTCAGCCCCTCTCTCTCTCTCTCTCTCTCTCTCTCTCTCGTTTTCATTCATCTTGTTTGGTTATGCTTTTTAAGATTTTTTTTGTCTTTTTTTTAAAGCGTGGATTGTAACATACAAATTATTAAAGATAAAAGTAAAAATTTAGAGTTTTAACATATAAAATATTAAAATTTTTTACTTAAAAATAATAAATATATAATTTTTAATTAAAAAAATATAAAATTAACATTTTTATTTATACATTTTATCTTCTAAAACATAAAAAAAATTCAGAAAAAGGTCATTGTAATTACTGTACGGTTCACTTACCCAATGGCAGCACATGGGAGTTTCATAAACAGAAAATTCAGAGGCAAAAATCAACATTTAGTCCCTCACTTTATAAAATTAGTAGGTTTTAGCTTCTTACCTTATAACATGACAGTTTTAACCTTTTATCTTAAAAAATTAGTAAGTTTTAACCCCTCACCATACAAAATTGATAAGTTTTAATCTTTTACCTTATATTATGATATTTTTAGCCCATAACCGATACGAATTAAAGAAAATAACTTTTATCTAACATCAAGTTCTAACGTTATGTTAGTTCTGTTAGTTGACTGTTAATATCTATTAGCATTTCGTTATAAAAAACTATGAATTTTAAATTCAATTTTATTTGTTAGTTTCATTAACGGAATGCTAACGGATGTTAACAGTCAACTAATAGAACTAACAATTAGTTAATAAAATTGATAGTCAACTATTATAACTGACAGTCAGCTATTAGAACTAATAGAATATTAAAATCTGATATTAAATAAGGGTTATTTTTTCAATTCGTACATATAAAGGGTTAAAAGTGTCATAATATAAGATGAGGGGCTAAAACTTATTAATTTTATAAGGTAAATAGTTAAAATTTATCAATTTTATTAGATAAAGAATTAAAAATGTCATATTATAAGGTTAAGGATTAAAACTTATCAATTTCATAAGGTAAGGAGCTATAACCGGAAAGCAAAACGAGAAAACGCGGTTCCGCTTCGGCATGTGGGCCTTCACATGTCTTTAAATACCCTTCCAAACCTCTCCTTTACTCACGGTTGCTTTGGTCTCTCTTACACATCACCCATGGCGCAAAAGCTAGGCTCTGCTTTGGTTAGAGGGTTCTTCTTTCTCATCCTCCCTATCCTCACATTCACTCTAGGCCACGAGGTAAAATCTGCACTTAAAAGCCCTTCCATGCATGTTCTGAATTTCATTTGGGCTCACAAGGTGAAACATGGCTCTAATTGTTCAATGAATACAGGCATTAGAGCAAAGGCTTGATTCAGGAAGACCTCTTCCAATCGTCTTCATTGGTGAAAAAGGTATGTGATCATTGATCATGGATCATCCTCATGGAGCTCCTTTCATTTCCCTTTTGTTTGCTGATGAATTCTGATAGAATTGTTCTTTAAAATTTCAGGGGGAACATACAAATGCATACAAACATCAATGAACTTCAGGAGCCAGGGACATATTACGACCCTGACTAAAGTAGGAGCAGCCCACACTATGGCAGCCCACACTATGCAGGAAGGGCACGAGTCCCTAGACGTTCATGATCTGGGTGGATCTGTTACTGTCTTTGTGACCTTATATGCTCATCAACCCACCAAAGACTTTTTCATCGTGGCATCCTCTCATTTCACAAGGCCTGTTCTCGCCACCACTGCAATTCTTCACTGCTTCGGCTCCAAAATCCCTCCTTCCAAGCCACTACCTAATTGCCCAACATGTCATGTTCACTGGTCCATACAGCGAGCCAGTACAATCAGGTACCTAAAAGAAAAATACTCTGTTTTTGTACCTATACAGAATATTAAATTTTGAATTCTGAATTTCTTCTGGATGTTTTTAGATTGAATTTGATAGCAAATGCAGCGAGGCCTATTCCTCAAGGCTCATCACATTACAGGTCAATACCAATTGTCAGGATACTTGTTCTGGAGAATACAGCCGCTGAAACAAAGCCCTGCACCAACAAGAAATTCCCTGCTGAAACAGAGCCCTTCCCTGCTCAAACAAAACCCTGCGCTCACAAGAAATCCCCTGCTGAAACAGAGCCCTGTAGCCACGTTGTTCATGTCCTTCCTCGCATCCGCAGGCTGCTTGGTAAACTACCAGATGTTAATGTCCATTCTCCAGCGTCAACCTCAAATGAGAACAGCTGGAATTTGGATAAGGTCGACCCGCCGAGCCCTCCAGCCCCAAGTGGCAACCCACCCATCCATGAATAAGGTTTATTTTGTACTAGTTATATTTCATGTATGCTCATGGTGGTTTTGTTCAAATTAGTACTTACTGATGCCGCTTTTTCTTCCCAGCTTGGTGTAGCCATTAGCACTTTAGCAGTACTGGTTTCAAAGCTTCGTGCTGGCAGTTCATGGAGAATAAAAGCATTATCCCCACTAACGGCGGAAGATAGTACCAGTACTTATATTTCCGTGGGATGCTACTCCACTAATTCCTCGTCTTAGGGGAATCCAGTGCATATGCTTGAAGATTTCGTTTTTGTTTTGTATCTGTTCTAGTAATCGCGTTGCGGATTTGATTTTCTGTTCTAAGGGGTGTTTTCGTCTGTTTTTGGGTCTACATACCATCAGATGGTCTTGTATCTTTGCTTTGAGATCTAGGGTTCTGTCCAGCGCACCTGTTAGAATAAGCTTGTTCTACCAATTAAAATATCAGTATTTCTGTTCAAATTAATAAATTTCTCTTTGCGTGTGTTTTAT